TAAATGGAAAATTGGCTATGGAGATTCCGCGCGGTCAGAAATTCATACAGACACAAAGGGGTTCGACAGGAAAGTCGTTTCGATCCAATCCATTCTTGGGGTCAAAAAAAGACAAAGGATATGTCAGTGACCTAGCACGACAAAGCACTCTCCGAGGGCATGGAATGTCTAATTTTTCGGTCAGAATATCGACAGTAATGTCTCTGTTAGATTCTCCGGTCGAAATACGGGAAAACTCCATTCAATTCTCGATGGAAACGGAGTTTTGCGAATTCTCCCCGGAACTGGAAGATCATTTCGAGATCTTCGAACATATTCGAGGGTTCAATGTTACTATTGTAACTTCGGCCAACACACAAGATGAGACTTTACCACCGTGGAGCGGCTTTTTGCAAAAAGATGAGGGAGAAACTCAGTAAGAGATGTCGGAGAAGCGAAATATACGAGATCACAAACGCAAATTGCTCGCGGCTAAATATGAATTGAGACGAAAGCTTTATAAAGCCTTTTGTAAAGATTCCGATCTTCCTAGTGATATGCGGGACAAACTTCGTTATAAGTTGTCCAAGTTGCCAAGAAATAGTTCCTTTGCACGAGTAAGAAACCGATGTATTTCCACGGGTCGCCCTCGTTCCGTATATGAGTTCTTTCGAATTTCTCGTATCGTTTTTCGTGGATTAGCATCTCGAGGTCCTTTGATGGGCATAAAGAAATCGTCTTGGTAGCAACCGCCAAACCCATAAAACAAGGGTTAGCTCCGCAGCTGGTCCACAAGCAAGGTAAGTAGGTCCATTACCGGCCGGCTCCGGACCGAAAAGACCTAACGGAGTAATCCCTTATCTCGGATCGGAGATGCTAACGGGGCAGGAATCGAAGTGGGGGACCTATCTACCGCCTGTGTCTATCTCCTGTCAAGTATGCTCCCCAGACATAGACTACGTACAGGGTAGTACTCTTGGATATAATATCACCGCGTGAACGTGAACATAACATTAAGTTACGAATGTAACTCCCGAGGGGTCGACCACTATTCTAAATAAAGTAAGGCGGAGAACTGTTGTTCATTGGAGCGCCGGAGTGCGGGGGTTGTTCCCATCATTGAAGTCAGAGTGTGGGACTGAGCCTTCCGAATGATAAAGAAAAAAAAGTGCTTAGTTTCGTTGGAAAAACCAACGCAAATATCATATTGACTTTATCTCGCCCGGATAGATATAAAAGGTTGGAGAGAGTTACTTTATGAAATTGTCTCCTTTCTAAAGCTGCGCAAGGCGGCCCCACCCCTCTTTTCCCCCCTTTAATGAAAGACCCTCGCCCCAAAAAAATGGGATGAATTAAAAAAAAAAGCTTTTTGATTGATTCAGGGCGCAGCGAAACCAATTTATTTCAAGGCAAAAGGGGGACTTACTTACTTGACTTTTCCTGACGCTGAGTCATCCTATTCAAATAAAATTTAGCTATGTTAATCGAACAGGAAAAGTTTTCAGATGATATGGACCCTGGACGAGAACCTCCAATTGCTTAGGGGTCGCACTCTGTCCCTCTTGGTGGACGAAATCTTCTCTCCTTTTAGAATTATTTCTCCCACACACCTTTGCCCTCTTTCACCGAAGAGGAAATAAAAATCTTCCAAGCGGACAGAGACCTAAATTTCCATTAGATTCATTCCTAAGCTTGCTTTGTTGCAGTAAGATGATCAGTCCGAGAGTGCTGGGGAGAAGAGAAAGCGGTAAAAACCCCTCAGATTCGGTCACCGAGCAGTCGTCCGACTCTTCAGTAACCCAGGATGACCCGACCCCTTCGACGCTCGCTTCTTTCGCTGTATACCCCCTCCATCCTTCGGAGGTGGAAGAAAGAAAAGGTACTATAAATAATTGATTCTTTATTCTTTTTAAGTAGGGCCCCAGAACGAAAAAAAGGTGGGGGAACCTGAGTTGTCACGATAGGAAAGAGAAAAAAATGACTATAAGGAACCAACGATTATCTCTTCTAAAACAACCTATATCCTCCACACTTAATCAACATTTGATAGATTATCCAACCCCGAGCAATCTTAGTTATTGGTGGGGCTTCGGTTCGTTAGCTGGTATTTGTTTAGTAATTCAGATAGTGACTGGCGTTTTTTTAGCTATGCATTACACACCTCATGTGGATCTAGCTTTCAACAGCGTAGAACACGTTATGAGAGATGTTGAAGGGGGCTGGTTGCTCCGTTATATGCATGCTAATGGGGCAAGTATGTTTCTCATTGTGGTTCACCTTCATATTTTTTGTGGTCTATATCATGCGAGTTATAGCAGTCCTAGGGAATTTGTTCGGTGTCTCAGAGTTGTAATCTTCCTATTAATGATTGTGACAGCTTTTACAGGATACGTACCACCTTGGGGTCAGATGAGCTTTTGGGGAGCTACAGTAATTACAAGCTTAGCTAGCGCCATACCTGTAGTAGGAGATACCATAGTTACTTGGCTTTGGGGTGGTTTCTCCGTGGACAATGCCACCTTAAATCGTTTTTTTAGTCTTCATCATTTACTCCCCTTTATTTTAGTAGGCGCCAGTCTTCTTCATCTGGCCGCATTGCATCAATATGGATCAAATAATCCATTGGGTGTACATTCAGAGATGGATCAAATTTCTTTTTACCCTTATTTTTATGTAAAGGATCTAGTAGGTTGGGTAGCTTTTGCTATCTTTTTTTCCATTTGGATTTTTTATGCTCCTAATGTTTTGGGGCATCCCGACAATTATATACCTGCTAATCCGATGCCCACCCCGCCTCATATTGTGCCGGAATGGTATTTCCTACCGATCCATGCCATTCTTCGTAGTATACCTGACAAATCGGGAGGTGTAGCCGCAATAGCACCTGTTTTTATATGTCTGTTGGCTTTACCTTTTTTTAAAAGTATGTACGTGCGTAGTTCAAGTTTTCGCCCTATTCACCAAGGAATATTTTGGTTGCTTTTGGCGGATCGCTTACTACTAGGTTGGATCGGATGTCAACCTGTGGAGGCACCATTTGTTACTATTGGACAAATTCCTCCTTTTGTGTTCTTCTTGTTCTTTGCCATAACGCCCATTCCGGGACGAGTTGGAAGAGGAATTCCTAATTCTTACACGGATGAGACTGATCAGTGAAAAATTATGACACCAATCATTTACGTATTACACCAAGAATTAATTGACAAGCGCATTAGTTTTATAGTTGGCTATGTTGATATAGCTTAGATAGGGAAAAGATATTACTAGGGTAGGGCTTCACTTTTAAATCCGGGGGCTTTGTTCCCGAAACTCCCTTCCTCCTCCCCGTCCTTTGAAAGCTAGAACATTCGCATAGAGGAGTATCCTTATCACGCATGCTTTTCCACTGATGACAAAATGACCTTCTATCCTCTTCTAGGGATTCCTACCCCTATATGGAGAGGGGAAATTATTATTTGAGTATTATGCATGAATATGCTTCTGCGCCGGGAATATCTCATAGCGGGAAGGCCCAGAGATCATAAAGAGATGGGAATGGAGGCATTCCAGCCCAACATACTCCGGTGAATGGGTCGAGAGAGATAGAGAGGGGAGTGGGATACAGGAAGTATAGTGAAGAGTTGAGTGGCTATCCAACCATCCAATCGGCTATGGAGGGTGGTTTCAGCAAGCGGGTAAACCGATGATGACTAGTCAAAACGTAGGTCGATCGTCGCTCATCCCTCGTGTTCTCTCCCGTGAAGTGATTAATCCCTAAAATGGGCATGCAATCCCTATGGAAAAGCCAGTATTCCAATTGGAGTAAATTTCCACCCTTTGATGATCCATTCCGCCCTTCCGTATAGCCAGAAAGGTATGGAATCTTATGGATGACTTGAAGTAGTTCTTCCACCCCCTCCTCTTTCACCTATCCCTTAACTCCCCAGGAGATTCCGTACAGCTATATATATATATATATATATATATATATATATATATATATATATATATATATATATATATATATATATATATATATATATATATATATATATATATATATATATATATATATATATATATATATATATATATATATATATATAGTGCATTAAGAAGTCCTCTTATATTTCTACAATTGTATTTCTACAATGAACACCACCCTATATCCTAAAAGGAAGGTGTGACGCTAAGTTCAATGTGCAAAACGTAAGTTAGGAAGGGTTAAAAAACATACAGTCAAGGTGAGTTTTGTGGGAGTGCAACTCGTAACGAGGTGAGATTGAAAAAAGTGATTGATTATCTAGAAGTTTGTCGTTGAATGTTCAGGAAGAGAGCTCTAGTTTCTCTAGAATCTCGGTAGATGCTTCTGGCAGCTTAGGATGCTTCCGTTAGAAGCCAGGTTTATAAACCTTTTGAATACATAGTCATTTATCTCACTTGTTCTTTCTTTATTATATGATAACCAGCTACTATTAGCATATTTCTAACATATGGGAGGATACATCGATTAAGTAGATACACTTGGTCAAGGATCTATGTTAACCTCACAATCATAATGTAGAACACAAGAGATATGGACTTGAGGATTGGATGATAACGACAGACTTAAAGAGTTCTCATATGCCAAAACTTACACACGAGTTATCATATAGACGCAACATATGCTATTGTGTGTGGGCTTGTATATAGTTGGTGTCTATATCATTGTATGTTTACAAATCATTACCATTCCAAAAAAATAGTTATAATCACCAACTGTTGTTCAAAGTTTATAGTCGTATTAAACAAATTTCTTCATGCATTAGAAAGTGCTAAGATGGCATGGTATGAGAGTTAACATACTTGTGTCTGTAAAAAGGTACAAAAATTGTCTTCCACGTTCAATTTTATGAGGAAAAACGGAACTGAGTTCTAAAAAAAGAAAGGAAAAACTACAAAATTGGGTCTACAAAGATGAACACGGAGACACTGCCCAAATAGCTACATCGCCTGGTCAAATAAATAAAATGGAACTTCAGTTAAATACCTCATTACATCACTCACTCTTGACCATACTCAAAGTGAAGGATCTCTTTGGTAACATCGACTACCTCCTCAACTTCAATGTCCTTTGCCTCATATTCTTCTTCCTCGTCACTAGCTTCTCCGTCCCTCAGATTTATCCTCTCCGACCTCTCTTCTTCATGCATCAGCTTCCACTCATTGACCCACTTGTCCCAATCTTCTTTCAAGACCCTTCGCTTCTCACGCTCCTGCTCACTCAGCAGCAACGAAACATCTTGATCTTCTGCTTCATATTTCTTACTATACTTCTTCAAGTTCTTTGCAATCTCTTCCTCTTTCTCGGGAGTCAAGAAGGATGGTGGCCTAGGTCTCCATAAGAACTATAATTTGAAAGGGGGGAAAAAAAAGAACATGAGATTGGTTAGTATGAAGAGAAAAGGTAGTAGAACAAGTTATACTTTTAAACATTGTACATAAAAAGTAAAAAAATCTTTCAACAATTGTAGTACACATACAAGCAATGCATCAAGTACAAATGATATTGTAGATACCTGGAAGAAGTGATCCTTCAATATCCGATAAAGATGTTTGCCATTGAAAGACCATATATTGAATCCATTTTCCATTTCATGAACCGAAGTCACAGCAGTTGCAACATACCTAATCATCATTAAAATAACAAAAGGTCAAACATTTAATTGCTAAATAAATATAATTAACTGGTTTTACACAAATTGATCAATTATCTGCTGCATTAGTCAACTTGTTTGGATAAACAATATATACCTTCCAGTTGGATCCCATTCAACATCAGTTGCCATAAAATGATCAGTAGTAGCCATGGTCTCAAGCTCATCAACATTGTAAAATTCCAACAGTCCATTGAAGCCTTTCAACCCTGCTAATACAATGAAGCGGCCTGCAGGAGACCAAAATAAAGCATTTGCCTGCTTTCCTTTCAGAGTAGTAAGCTTTGAAACACGGCCAGTGTTCTGAGCAGTCCGCATAGAATAGATACTAATATCAGGCTTAGGGTTATCCCCGTGAATAACAACAAACCTATGTCCCTTTGGCTCCCATGCAAATGCAATGATCTTATCATTCTTATTCTCAAGCTCTAGAACTTCAATGGGTATGTCACGTTCCTTAATACGGAAAAGCTCAAAGCCAGTGTAAGTACTTTTCTTTGTCTTGGTATATCGGTCCACATTAACAGCAAGATAATCCCCATTGCTCTGCCAGTACATCTTACAGTCACTGACGCTAAAAAGGTTTTTTTGTCTGAGCTCTTCTTTGCTGGGGATTGAAACAAGACTTACCTACAAAATCATAAATTTAGTAAATATAAAAATACTACTATTTAGTATAAAACTAACTATTGAGTAGAAGAACCCGTGACATGACCATAAAGCCAAAGACAACAAAAATTTACCCTGGCAGGCTGGTTCCCACCTCCCGTCTCAGGAACAAACAGTGAAATGATTGGATCAGTTGGTGACCAGCTGAAATCCATTATATTTTCAACCTTTAAGGATTTTTTGTCAACGAGAGAAAATGTTTCTGCCTCGTATACAGAAAGTACATTCTTCCCCATCCTCGCAAAGTACTTATCTTCTCTTCCACCACTCCATCTGCAAAGCCAATAAAACAAACTCATCACTAAACAAAGGACAGCGAAAAAATGCTAAAATATTTAAGCTATGTAGGTTGAGATTGTACTTGAAAACAGGCCAAGACACTCCAGTGACACCGCCGGTACCTCCGATAGCAAAATCATCAGCACTTCCCTTAAAATCTCTCATCACTTTACCAGTTCTCACATCAAATATATTTATTATAACCCTCTAGAGGAAGAAAGTAGTAGTCAGATACAATGTCACAAAAAACTCAAGAAACAGTAAAAAAGAGGACACTTACATTAGCATCCCGGGGATTGCTTGGTTCATGGCTGCTATAAGTTACCAAATACTTCTCACCAGGTGAAAAATCAATAAGTTTCACCTGTCATTTATATTATTATTAGCATTAATGTAAATAAAATAATATAAAGTATAAACAGCATAATGAAAAGCTCAAAAAAAAACCTGGGGATGAGCATAACGCATGAGACGATTGAAGGTTGTAGCACCTCCCCAGACTGCTGCCCCCTGACGGTGAACTGTTGCCAAGTATGTGCCCAGAGGAGACCATTGTACAAAACTCTCAGTCCAAAACTGTAATTGAAAAAATATATGAACACCGTACAGGGATGAAGAGAATGATAATAAATGACGCTGATAAACATCAAATAATACAAGATATTGAAATATGATGTCCACTTACTGCACGTTTATAAACAGGATCAGGCTTTAAATGCCTAGCATCATTCCACAAAACCTCAGTATCTGAACTAGCACGAATCACAAACTGGTCTCGGGCCTTAGCATCAGTAAGCCATTGTTGAAGATTTTCCTGAGAGAGAAATGAAGGCCATATATAATCAGAACTGATAAAATGCCAGTAGATCTCATGGCAAAGATGATAAATCAGAAATCACGACGAAACATAAGCACACTTTGATAAAGCTTTGAGCTACCCGACCAAAGATAAGAACATGTTGATAATACCTTGAGCTACCCGACCAAAGATAAGAACATGTTGATAATACCTTGAGCTACCGGATCAAACATAAGCATGTGTTTATAAAACCTTGAGCTATCCATTAAGTAAACTAATCATAGGTGGAATTCAACAAGGAGAGGAGCTCATGAAAAAGCATGCAATTACCTTAATCTAATCACTACCAAAACAAAAGAAAAATATAACAAAGTTGTAAGAAAGATGGTGCCTATATATTTCGGATAAAAAAATTAACAAAAAGCCTCCCATAATCCTAATATTATAGTAACAAACAGTCATAACTGTTTCCCAAAATAAAACTAAACTAACAATATAACTACAACATAACAATAAATTTAAGAAACCAAAAACTAAAGTAAAAAAAATGTAATTCTATAATCATTACCCCTGGAGCATAATCCTTTTTTGGAGGAGGAGCCCACTCATCTGGCACTTTCATAAAACGGTCAAAATCATCAAACATACTAACTGTAAATATGTGAGAACGATCCAGTTTGTATCCCTGGCCCCTCTCTTTAGCAAGCTCGGCTTCCTAAATTACCATCCAAGTTAGCCACATCAAATAAAATCAAAGAATAATTTCCATCCAATATAACCAAAACATTTTATTTGACTTAAAAAAGGGGTTTAACCTGAGGAGTATTGAACTCAATGAAGCAGTAACCTACGGTCTTTTCAGTCGCAGGATCAACAGGCATCCAGAAGCCATCATCCTTAATAACACCAATCTGACTAAAAATTTTCCTAATAACACCTTCAAGCTTCGCAAATTTATCTTTCGTAACAACAGGGGTATTATCCACTACTATAATGTTGCCAAAACCAGTATCAAACTCAAGATTCTCCTCTTTATAAACTTCCTCATCATCACTACACCGCAAAACAATGGAATCAGAAATATAACATTGCTTCCTAGGGTTTAATTTACATAAACAAAAGTATACATATATATATATACCTGAATATGCCATAGTCTTCACCAGGTGGGAGGTGAATGGAATCAAGATCAACAGTAGATAAATCAATTCCGAGAGACAACGCTTTGTCTTCAATCTCTTTCATTACCAAAACATCCGCCATGTTTGCGGCGGCGAGTATATTATCGTGCAGCTAACTGTTCTTACACTGGGATTAAAACCCTGAACACAGAAATGAAAAATTGAATAAAAATAAACGTTGAAATGGAATTTATAACAACAGGTACACATACATCGGAACAGATCTGTAGAAATGCGATAAGGAACGGATTGGTTGATACTATACTAAATCGATGCGGAATATGAGGAGGTGAAAGGAAAATGGTGATAAGATGAAAGGTGTTAATTGAGTTACTCACTGTTGGCGGCAGTTTTCATAGGATGGTGGAGTCTCTGCGTGCGATTTCCGACCAGCTTTTGGTTTTCACGGCGAAAGAAGATGAATGAGAGAAAGCGTGAAGCGTGAAACGTGAAACGGCAGTAGCAGATAAGTTTTGTTGTTTTAGGGTTTTGAAGCTTCTTAATGAGAAAATGGATTGGGCTTCTCTTTTCTTTTCTTTTTTTTTAATCATTCAACTTTTCATTTGCTGTAAAATCAAAAATAATGAAAATAAATATAAACTTTTTTTTATGTTTAACATCATTTAGTCTCTTAAATGTATGTGTTATTTCCTTTTGTCCTTTAAGAATAAAATGTTACATGGTTGTCATCTAATTTTATTTTCGTTAAAGTATTTGGTCATTTCCGTTAATTCGTATTGGAAAACCGTTAAAAAATGTCAGGATTGACTACTTACATCTGACATGGAATTTAAGTATTCTTGAAAAATGGTTAAAAAATGTCATGATGTAATTTGTTGAAGTTAATTAAGAAATGGATGAACTTGAAAGTCATGAAGCTCAAATGTTAGGGAAAACCAAAACATCTCTCTAAATAGGGCAAACTCCATTGAAGACGATTGCACAGACCAACGTCGTTGAAGACGACATCAACGTCATTGAAGACGATATCAACGTTTCTTTGATTACAACTACGGTATGGGTTCTCACATGTAACTTATTAAAAACGTAAACTTTTCCTTTTGGCCACCTTCCTTAGTCGTTTTGCTATCTTATGTAGGTTTAATGGGTAATGGAGAAGGGATTTAAGTGTGTTGTTCATCATTCTGGTGAGTTTTCTAGGGAGTTTGCTAACTTCACTAAGTCAGGATATCAAGGGTTAAATACCATTATTGATTTTGATTTGGATTATTGGGGTTACTTTGAAATTTTAGGCATGTTAAAAGATTTAGGTTATCCAACTATAGATAGACTTTGGTATTACGATGAAATGAATGCTTGTGATATTGTGTTGTTAGAGGATGACAATGGAACTAAGAGAATGCATACAATTGCAGTATTGACTGGGGAATGTCATTTATATGTTAAGAGACCTTATTTAATCGTGGTATATCTTTATGGAGACCCTTTTTCCATAGCTTAATCATGAAAACATATGAGGTCTGGTGTTGTAGGCTACCTTGCGCACCCTCAAAGACAGTCCTGGCAAAGTGTAAGGCAAATGGTAAGGCAAAAGGCAAGGCAAATGGTAGTTTTATCATACAAATCAACACGAATACAAGATTAAACATAATTCAAACGAGTTAAACAAGAAAGTTGGTCTCCATGCAATTTAGTAAACAATGGAAAGGTTCCTCACATTGAGCTATGAACTAAAGTGATTCAAAATTAAACAAAAATTGCAAAAGAATAAATGTCATGTAATTTGTACAAAGCCTAAGATTCATAAATATGTTATGTTATAGAAAAGCAATAAACACATACTTTAATCATGCAACTCTCTTTAAACTTTTCACACTACCATAATATTCACTTGATGAAACAATAAAAAATGAACAACCACACAATGCATCCTCAAGGTAATAAAAAACAAAATATGAGAACAAACACAAAAATATATTCTAGCAACCTAACAAAATTGAACTAAAACTAACTAAACACAAAGACCAAAATTGGTGAAAATGGATGGAAAATAAGAGATTTTTCCATACAAAACACGGTGCGCTAAGCGCGAACAGGCATGCTTAGTTTTTCAAATTCTTTCTCACATGTAATCCATCAATTCTCATTTTATATTAATTATACTACTAAATATAAAATTGTACAAACTCAAAAACCATTGGGTTGCCTTCCAACAAACGTTTGTTTCACGTCAAAAGTTTGACGCCTTATTTACGTACAAAGTCCTCCATGTTGCTTCGTTCACCGGTAGATACCAAATAAAACATGCAACACTTAAGCAAACGTAAACCATAAACAAAAATATGTACGCGCACATAAACATAATGGAAAACACATATATACAATCACTTTTGGAAAACAACTATAAACAAGTATATACAAAGCTTAAAAACATAGAAACAATCGCAATGTGATTCAACATCAAAACCAATCCCCAGAAACAACGCCATTTTGTTGAAGCAATAAAGTGACAAGCAAAAATATTATTTTCGAAAGAATCCCCTCAAGGATTTATGTCGTCTCCACAGGGATCAGTGTGAGGGAAAGAATATCGTTCGACAATCTCTACGTCTTTCAGTTTGGGTTTGAATCGTTTTAAAGAGTAAGATGCAAAAGAAAAACATAAGACAAGAAAATAAATGTATTCTTAATATATGAGAAAACTCGTCAGGAGTTATATTTCGTTCTACCCATCATGTACTAAAAAAAGCTATAGATCAAATGCACGCAACCTAAATCACTCGTCAAAACCCTCACGCATCGCTCACAACAAGAGGTTATTTCTAACGCAAAAGTCGAGAGATCAATCGCATTCTCTCGTAGGTGAAGTCTCGCGCAAATCAGTAACACAGAGCATTAAGATCTGATCTGACAAACACACGTGAATATTAGACCACTTCCTACAGCCAATAGACGTTCATCTTAGGTCGAGTTCGAAAAGTATATGTCTATAGCGAATCAAACCCATTGAGATATAGATTAAATCAAAGATGACATCTATTAAGAGTAGTTAAAGAGATTTTATACAAAGATCCATAAATATACATACAATCAAGATAAAGTTACATACAAAACCCCAATATATAAAAAATACATAGAAAGGAAGGAAGAAGAACATAAATCTCACGTTTTGTCAACTCTGATTGAAGTGAATTGGACTCCAGATCGTCAAGATGCATCCTTCAAGTGTTGTTTATGAGCTAAAACTACTAAAGAACGTGTTTGATGAAGTTGGGGTTAAAAGTTCCCAACAACATAACCTAAAAAATGTTGAATAATTACTTAAATAGGGGCTGGAATGGCGCGAACCGTGCTAAGCGCGCTATGAGAGCGCTTAGTGCCATCAACAAAATCAAGTTTCTTGTTTTCTTCATAACTTTCGAACTGTAACTCTGATTGACGTACAGTCAAAAACGTTGGAAAGCTTATTCAATGCTCTATATGATAATGAAAAAATATCCTTGTTTGAATACCTACAAAAATGAGATAAAGTAAAATTAAAAAGAAGCGCCCTCAGATCGCGCTAAGCGCGATCTCACTTAAAGTACCCTTAAACTGACATAAATAGCGTTATGCACGGTCAGAAAAACCACGTTTATTTGCTTCTTCCATCCACCTCCAACACGCTAAAAATCGCGCTAAGCGTGAATGCCAACATTTTGTTGGTCAAAATTGCATTTTGAAGCATCTCTTTTGGCTCAATTTGATTCGTACTTCAACCATGCATTATTACCTATAAAAATAGATGAAAAATTATCAAACTCAGTGAATTGTACAAAAAGTACACAAAAACGGGAGATTATTAATGCAAAACCAACTAATCAAGCCAATAAGTTCCAATTATTCACACTCAAAATCCATACAATTTAACACTTATAAATAACCTCACTTTTCAATTTTCTAATCTTCTTCTTTTGTCTTTCAAGCTTCAAATTCTTTCATCAACAAATTTATCCTCTAACCACTTGAAAACATTACACCCCTTGTCCATCTGATTTCTGTAATTTCTACAACCCCAAAGTTTTATCCTGTAGTTGCCATTATTCACATCACTAACAGTTCGAAAAACACTATCATTTTGGCAAAAACACTTCATTCACTTGTTTCTATGAAACACATATCCAGATGTACTAAAGCTTGTGATTGAATCATTGCTTGTATTTGATCTGACCTGATCAAAAGGGGATCACGGGCTAACCACACTCTGTTGGACTGCTGTCTGTTCATCGGTGATAAGGAGGAGGAGGGGGTGTACCTTCAAGGCACTCCGATGCCAAAGTAAGTATATGGGCAGAGTGATCACAGGTACAGAAAAATGGGTAAGAAGTGAATTACCTGACCCTCTTTTGAAAGAGGGTATTTATAGAGAGACCTCAACGCTGGGCCAACAGTCACTTGTGTTGGGCTGGATTGCCAGACCCAACTCAGGTGACTGCTAGGGCTTACATGGCGTAGTGAAGACCAAGACGTGGTCTTCTCCCTAGTCCAACTGTCCCGTGATCTCCGGAAAGTGGGTTTGACCTGCTTTTTCGGAGGTAGACAGTTAGTCGGTGACGTGTCCCCGCGGAGGGGAGCACGTGGAGAACGTGTGAAGGACACGTTGTTATGCCTGACAAGGAGAAGGCCCTGCCCGCGGAGGGGGAGAAGGTCCTGCCCGCAGAGGGTAAGGCCATGCCCGTGGAGGGGGAACGTTCTGCCCGACGGTGCAGCATCTGGTTGACGGGGGAGTCTCCCGTCCGACGTAGTGGGGCGGGTCCTGCCCGCGGGGGACATTCCCTGCTTGGTGGGACCTGCGCCCGACGTTGTGACCCAGGCTGGACTGGGCTTGGCGGGGTATTATTGGGTTGGGCCCGCGTTGCCAGAACAGGAGCCCCCTGTCACGGTGAAATTTGGATACCAAACTATTAATTAGTTTGAATCTTATTCATTTGCAACCGAACTTTGATTTGTCCAAAGGAAGGGATAAAGATCGAAATTCCCACAATGCAATGCAAATGCAAGCTAGGGAGTTATAGGTTCGGGGGTCGATTAAACTTAGGGAAGGTGCTAGCATCCTAAGTTTCTGTAGTACTCTACATGAACCTCTTATTTTATGTTTGTTTATTGCTAAGGTTTATTTGCTTAAGGTTGAAAGACCTAGGGGTTTATTTCTAAGTATACTCGATAAGATATCGCATCTTATGCCTACATATCCTTACGGGAGTGAAATCAGAGTATTTTGTAGTTCCCCTAAAGGGTTTGAGGAGTTCTTTGACTGTGGTCAAAGTTCCTACGGGTTTAGGGTAGTTGATTGATTGATTTTAGGAGAAAAGGTGAGTTGTCATTTTAAGGGAGATTTAACCGCCACAAATTATAGGAAAATAGTCTTTGCATCATCTTAAGAGAAAGGCTCAAGTACTCGGATATAGATCGACGATGTACGCCTCTATCTCTCTTAAGGAAAAGTTCCTACGGTATTGATAATTGATGTGGGGTGGAGATTCTATCTCGCTTAAGATGATTTGGCATCTTTCTCTAATGTGTTTGAATATTGTTTGATTTGAATTGTATTGTTTTGTTTGTTCTAAGTTGTAAAATGGTCCTTCCTATGGGGTAGGATCTAACTTAGAAAGATCAACTTGAATGGGATCAAGGATCGTGGGGAGAATGATGCAAATGATGTGCACTACACACAAGTGTTGACTCATGTGTAGGTTTTTCCTTTGAACGGAATGCAATGATGCGATGCAATAAGGATAAATGCGGTAAATGTAAATTGCGAAAGATAAATTGCGAAAAAATAAAGCCATACACACGCATGAAAGCGCTAAGGTGTAGGTGAGTGAATTGTGTATGTGAATGTGCGGAAGCGTGCACGATTGATTTATTAAGATGTTGGTTAATTTTAGTTGATTGTTTTTTTTTAGCGAGAGGTTGTTTAAAAGGCCGTTGTGTTGTTTTTAGTTGAATTGTGTTTAGTGAGTTTATTCGATTTTATATGTGAAATTGATTTTAGTGAAAAAAGTTGTATTTTGATTATTAATAGCGAGAGAGACTAATTTTAGTTGAATTACTTATGAGAAAATATTATGTTTGTAGTGAGAAGGTTGCGATTTGTTTTTTTTATGTGAATTGATTTGTGAGGAGAAGTTTAGATTAACTTATGAGAAAGTGATATTTTGATGATGTTGATTTTAAAAAAGTTATATTATTTGACTTAAGAAAAGTATTGACTTATTGGATTTGAATAAAAAATTGATTTTAATAATAATTTTATAAAAGGTTTGGTTTTGATTTTTAGAAAAAAATAATAATAGTTAATTTATTAATAAAGGATTTAATTTAATTAGATGATAGAAGTTCATAAAGATTTTATTATTTCAATAAAGATTATATTAATATTAAATGAGTCAAATTTCTTATTATATAAAAGGTTATTAAGTTAAATAAATAACAAATAATAAAAGGATTCTAAAAAAAGTT